GGGAAAGAGGCCCTGTCACCTGCTGCTGAAACAGAAAGAGGGGAAGGTTTTCCAGTGTAAATAAAGACATTTTGTTAAGTAAGGAATGATAATTCTGCCATTTTTTTTCACATAAAAAAGAACCATAACTGTTCAGTTTCTTCAGTTATTGTTTCTATAGAAAAACTGGCATAGTAGAATTTAGTCACAAGTAACCAATTCCCACAGAATTTTTCCATAAATAGGCTCCATACATGTGAAAAATCATGAAATTGGTACACTAACTTAATTTTAGAAAATTAACATTTTTACAACTGCCATTTACTGTTATGTGTTAGAAGGCATAAATCCTTAGAGAAAACCACTACCATAAAAAATGATCTTTTCTTTAGCATAAATATTAACATGGTATCATTCATTTGAAGCATAATTTCTCCCAGGATTAAACTGAAAACATGTTAAAACTAAATACAGTTTAACCTGTATGATTTAATCATAATTTTTCTTCATTAAAACTAAAGGAAAGGTACCTACATTTCAAAGAAAACGTGTCTCAGTAAAAAGCAGGTAAGATCACAAATTATGGTAAAATGTGCTCTGTGCATTATTAAAGGTGGGTAGGTTAGTTAGGCAAAGTCTCAGTCTAGATCAATTCAGCTATCTTGAGCAGTGAGCATTTCATCTCTTAATTACACTAGATCCTGAGCTGGCCTGGGAAGAGACAGAAGCTGATTTTACAGCAGAGTGCAGTGCACTACTTCCCCACTGAGGGGTAGATCAAATGCCCCTATTATATGGAGAGTTCCATGAGTTAAATTTACCAATCCAGTTATCACAGCGACCACAGCCGTTTGTCAGGTGACAGTTGAGTCACAATACAACTGTGTCTTGAACACACAAGATCCTATCAGTCTGGAAGGACAGCAGGAGTATCTTCCATCATTTCAAACCACTACCACAATTAATTTAAACTGAGTAAAAGGGTAAGAAATATTGGCTGGAACCCCCACATTAACCCTAAGATCACAGTTACCAAAATGGACCTTTGGAAAAATGCTTAATGTTTATGGAAAAGCAAAGAGGAAGAGCAAGTCATTTAGTAATTAAGGAAAACAGCATGACCAGGGCCACCGAGGCATACTTTCCAGCTGAAAAATAACTGATTTTTTGGTCCTCCATTTTTTTTTTGAGTTAATGTCTTCTGAGAAAAGGGAATAGCAGTGCCAAGTAGGTATTTTCCTTTTTCATTTAAAGCACAAACTTTCTCTTCAAATTGACTACAGAAGGAAGGATTCCTTTTAATTTTTGTCTATTTGTTATCAGCACAGGTTTGAAGGTAAGATTCTTGGTCATTTGGACTCTTTACCAACAAGCTAGGGTGGAATAGCATCACAGCAACACTACAAAACCTGGTAACACAATGTTAGGGCTTGTGTTTTGGGGTGAGCTTTTATCCTCTTCACTCCCACCCCTGGGGGGGAGGGGGAAAGAGAGAAAGGGGGAGAGGGAGAGAGAAAGAGAGAGAGAGAGACTTTCAAGATCAGAGAAACATTAAGCACCAGAAAAATAATCTTTGGAAAAAAGAAAGCTAAAGAAGAGCATGATACTGTAGGCACTAGAGAGGGAACCAAGAACTAGTTTGGGATCATTTATGTTCCTTTCTGTAGGTTGGCAGGGATTTCAATCACCTTTCTGAAAAGAATAGGCTGGTAAATTTGCAAATCCACACACAACTCTGAGAATACCCACTGCCAACATCAAAAAGCAAAGATACTAATTTTGTAAGCCAAAAATCTGTACTAACACATGTAATTTTCTTAATGTGCCTAAGTTAATTTCTGTACCAATTCAATGAATGGAATTGACTGAACTTCCCAACTCCACTAATTATTAAAATCCATCTGCTTGTTATAATGCTAGTCACCAAGAGCTAGACTCCATCTTCCCAATAAAAATGAAACCTATGTAGCACTAGGTCTGAATCCTAAAATTCAAAACAGGCATATCATTTTCTTAATGCATACTTTCTACACATAATTATCTGGGGGAAAAAAAAAACAATCAATCAGTGCCCTGTTCAATTTTTAAGGTATGAATATCAATATGAAAATTTTAAATAAATATTTATAGCAGCTAACTGACACGATCATTTCCTAACACAGCAATACAGTAACAGACCTATCTCAAAAGTCTGTTTTGGGACACACTTTTCTTATTGGTTAAAGTACCTGAGCCAGAAAAAGGCAAAAGAAAAAGGCAAAAAGACAAGGAAAAGGTAAAAAGGCTATCCATAGATAATGAACTATTTCTCTATCTAATCTGGGGCAAGCTCATAGTACTTGAATAAAGCCAGAAACAAATAGAAAATGACTGTTTACACTTTCATTCTGTTATTGCAAACCTTTGAAAATTTCTGCAACTCCTTCAACTAACCTTTTCTTCCTTGGTAATTAAAAAAAAAATCTGATATATGACATATTTGATGAACCTATCAATGCTGAGACTGGAAACTCAAAATACAGTCCAAACATATTATGTTCAATCACCTTCAAGAGCCATTTGAGGGGTCAAGTGGGCAGACTGGGTTGGGGGTGGGAAGAAAACACTATTATACAAGGGATCTTGGGAGGGGGAGGGTTACATAAAGTACAGTGTACAGGAAAGTTTTGTTATTAAAATTATGTATACTGTAAAAGGTGAATGCCTCTTTTTTTAAAAAATAACTTTTCTTTGATAACCTATCAATTTTGACATGTGAAACTTAAAAATGTGTGACAGATATAAAACCTTAAATGAACAGGTGTTTTATACTATGTTCTGCTACAGTGCCAAGTGTGTCAACTGAGAAAAAGGACAGCTAGACATCACCTATCTTCATTCAGAGTGAGGCAAAATTAGGCCAGGAAAAAAGAAAAGGTAAACAGTAGGAGCTAAAAAGTCATCATGCAATTAGGAAGTGCTTTTCCAACCAGCCTTAACAAGTGGATAAACAGTTGTGTGTGGAATTCACAGGGCCTGGACTTGGCCACTCCTCTCCCCATACATTCTCGCCACAGGCTGCCGTCACGGTGTGTGGAGCTGCAGAAAGGCACCCAATTGCCTGGACTTGGCAATCAGTGATCTGGCCTCTCCCCTGGGCTTAGCTGAGGTAGATCCCAGCAGCGCCCTGCACATCACTCCTGGAAGGGAGATCCACAGGTGCTCACCACACTGAGGCTACTAGGATTCCTGCATAACCTACTCTACCCCCAGCAGCCAACTCAATGAGCATAGATGGGGGAAAAGGGACGATTTTAACTAGCATCCCTCACTTGGCACAGAAAAGCACTGTCAGGACGGGATGCTGTGCCTGGGGAGCTCTGAGGCAGAAATGGCCCTGGCCTCTGGAGCTGACTGCCAAGAGTCTGCCATGCTTGCCAGCATGCATGTTCTGCTTCTCTAGCTTCACAGCAACAATGGAGGACCAGATATGGGGAAAAAACAACGCCACCCTTTTCCCAACACCCAAGATGCTGGGATCAGAGAGGCAGAGTTCACCCCTGGAACCTCAGCCGTTAAGTAGGGCAGAGGCAGGAAGTGCAGCACACAATTTTACTGTCAAACTCATCCCCTATACACTAGAGGGCATAGGTGATGATGGTTTTAAATGGCACAAAAGAAACGAGCTCTTACACTTTATGGTTTTAAAAACAAAGCTTATTAACCCAAGTCTCCTCCATCTTAAACATGAAAATCCCATGTAAAACTACATCTACTTCTTTTTTGGTTCATTAATTTACTGTATCCCATAGCATTCTCAGGTTCCCACTCAAATATACAATAGAGTTTTTCAAGGTCTATTTAGATACATTTTCTTTGCAAACAGATCTAAGCAACTGGGGACTCAAGTCTTCCTTAGAGAGTCAAAATGTACTTCAAACTGTCTTTTACAGATACAGAAAGGAAAAAAAGAGGTGAAAGTCAGTTATTCCAAACATTTCTCCTTAACATGAATATGGCCTTCTTCCTCACTATCCAATATTTTGGGAACATTCTAAAGGGACGTTATCTTGAACCTTCCCTTCCCCCATCTACAGGGGATGTTACAGAGCAAGAAATCTCCAAAGGCGAGTACAAGGTATTCTATCCTGCAACATCTGCAGACTATGCCCTGCCTCTGTACTGGAGGCCAGAGAGAAAAGCTTGGCCCAAGATCTCAACTCGGGAACTACTGCTGAAAATCCAGCATGAAGGAAGTTCTGTAAACAGCAACCCACACAGGCAAAGGCCCATGGAACAGCCCTCACTTGAGAACTAGGTCC